CTGACCAGCGGAGCGGCACGCTATCCGCCCGCAGGATGTAGCGTGTCGCCAGGGACGTAGCTGCGATACCCGTAACAGAAGTTCCCGACCGCATTCTCCATCACCGACGCCCCCGAAAAGTTGTGCGAAAATGGTCACGCGCGAAGCCGTCGCGATCAGTATGTGTTTTACCTGCACTGGAGCACGATGCGCCTGATGAAGAAGACACAGGTCGGCAACCTGCGGGACCTCGACCTCCTCACCCTCCAACCCCCGCCGATGCATCGGCGATGCAGTGCGGCCCCCGACGCCATCATCTTTGTCACAACGCGGACACCCAGAGGTCTCAATTGGGTCGTTTGTTGACGGCCCCGGGGCCCGGCGAAGGCCCCCAGAGGCCGAGCACAAAAAAACCGTCGTGATTATTGTCCAACGCGGCGACGGAGTCAGGGGCATTCTCCGTCCCGACGCCCCCGATGCATCGGCGACGAGGTGCGGCCACCCGCGCTGGCCCCGACCCTGGGCGGGCCCCCAGGAGCCGCCTGCCCCTGCCGAAGCCCCTCCGGCGCTTCGTCAACGAGAGCCGCGCGCAGGCGTCGGGGGTCCCCAAGCGGTGGCCACACCGAGTGGATAGTCGAGTGTGAAAGGTTTTCGCACGTTTTCGTCGGTTCCTGACACTTTTCTTGCCTCGTGACACGTTCCTGCAGCTGCTCCTCGCCGAGGGCGTTGCCCGGATCGTCCCGAGCGGCCGCCCGAAGCCCGAGCTCTGGCCTGGGAACCAAGCATTCGGAGGAGGGCCAGTGTAATGAGTCAGTGGGGATTCGGGGTGACTGCATGGTTTTGGGATTTGGGTCGTTCTCCGAGGACGTCTCGGGCGGCTGGGCAGACCAGCGGGCACAGGGGAAGGTCTTTACCCACCTGGCGTACCCATCAGAACAATACTTCTCTTGCTGGGCGCATCCGTTGTTGCCATGCTCGCGTCCAACTCGTCGGTCGTCGCACTAGATGTCGGTGCGTGCGTGGTGGTCGGGTCTACGCGGGCGTTGCCCACGCATGTTGTGTAGTGCGCGGGTCGGGCAAGCGGGCGTGCCCTCCCTTCGTCGGTTCGATGCTCGCTCTGGGCCGAACAGCTCGGCCCGCCCAGCGCGGGCGTGGCAACGCGTTCTGGGCGCACTCGTGCTGGTATGGTCGGCGGCGAGCCCGGGGGGAAGTGAGAAGGGGCGGCCCTCCTCAGAAGGCTCGGAAGTCCCCCGGCCTTCTGAGGGGTTTTCTAAGCCTCCCCGGAAAACGGAGAAATCCTCACAGGAGGCGCGAGGGCTTCTGGGAAGTCCCGCCGCCTCCTGAGAATCGGGGGCGGCAAAGAGGGGGGTGAGGATTAGAGGGGGGTGGATACCATGGCGGGGGCCATGATATTTCCTCAGATTTCATGGCGCCTCTTCTTGTTTCATTACGTCCCTGGCCCCCCCGCTGGGCCGCGCACATGTCGCCGGTCATGATTTGCACCCCGTCTCTTGGACACCCCCTTCTTGGCTGCTCCCGAGAGAAGGCCCTCCCCTTCTCACTTCCCCCCCCCCCCCTCGCCGCCAGTATGGGGCGATGCTTCCGTCGCGATCTGGAAGCGGTCGGCCGAGTCTGCCTTCCATCGGTTTCGCCGGTTCGGTGGTCCGTGGCACGCTCGAGATTCCGCGCGCTGCCGCGTGGCGCCTGGGCAGCAGATCGGCACCGCTCCGCAAGTTCATGTTAAGTCGGGCGTGTCCCTCTACAGGAGGAAAATTCAAACGTAGTCAATAAATAGTATGGGGAAGATGTTCTACAATGTTTGATTATGTGTGTTGTCTGTGTTCCTTGCGTCTTCCAAAGTCCGCCTGTAGGAGGACATGCCCGACCTAAAGTGAGTGCTGCTGGTCGTAGTCTGAGGGCCACTCTTGGCAACGGTTTGCTGCGACGGTCCGGGACTCGTCCTGGGGGCGCTGTCCGCAGTGGGGGGCTCCCCCCCCCCCTCCTCCTCCTCCTCCTCCTCCTCCCCTCCTCCTCCTCCCCTCCTCCCTCTCCTCCTCCTCCTCCCCTCCTCCTCCTCCTCCTCCTCCCTCCCCTCCTCCCTCCTCCTCCTCCTCCCTCCTCCTCCTCCTCCTCCTCCTCCTCCTCCTCCTCCTCCCTCCTCCCTCCTCCTCTCTCCTCCTCCCTCCCTCCTCCTCTCTCCTCCTCCTCCTCCTCCCCTCCTCCTCTCCCTCTTGGAGAGCCTGCCCAGAGTCCCCCGTTCTCAGTTTTTCAGGGCGGGGAGGGGTTGTGGACGTCAAACAGGAAAAATCCCCGCGCGCCTGTTACGGGCCACGCCACGGTTGCCTTACTTGGTAGTGTTCCTCACGGGCCACTAGCATGCCCCAAAAGTGTCTATCGAGGGGACGACGAGCCTGACCTATTAGTGTTCCTCTAGCGGACGGACAGCCCGTACCCAGTAGTATTTCCCCCTAAGTGGACAAAAAACCTGTGCCGCTCGACCCCCCCAGGGGGAGCCACAAGCCACTTCGGGAGAGAAAAAATCCCGATGTGCAAGCGTTGCGCTGTATTTGTTCCCTGGGGTGGTCGTTATCATTTTTCCATTGTTCGTCCTTTCTGACGAGGACCATCTCGCCCTGAGGTATCGAGAAGGTGTGTCGGGCACGCCTCGACAAGCCGGGGAGGCCACCCCTTGGCTCCAGGACGCCGTGGAATGCTTCCATGCCGGCGCGAGTCGTGCCATCTGTTGTCCGAGTGTTGCCGAGGCAGCGCCGCTGGCGAAGCACAGTGGTATTGTCCTCTTGTTGCGAATGGCCTGTCGGGCCATGTGTTTTTCGGTCACTGCTGCGAGACGTGTGTCTGCAGGCACGTCCTGGTGCTGGGCCTTCGAGCCATTGCGAACTCTCACAGCCTATCGGATGATGCGCACACGTATCAGGCGGCCGCGTTTCTGTTCGTGCGTTGTCCCGCCCTCCATGCTCGTGGAGCCGTCTGCTTGTTTCATATGGGCGTGTCGGGGTGCGCGCTGGGTAAATTTTCTGCCAGTGGAGTGTTCTGGGTCGCAGGCCCTTCTGGTACTACTCTGTTCTTGTTGTTGTGGTGCTTGTTCGCGACGGTCAGCTGTGTGCCAATGCCTGCGGAGGTGGTTTCGTTATTTCTTTCAACCGCCAAAGTTGTGCCGCGGTTGGGGCTGGTCCCAAGGTTGCCCTTTCAAGTCCGCAGCGTTCGAGGCGCGCGAAGTTTGAATGGCAACTCGCTGGAAATACGACACAGAAACATACAATGTAAGAGGGTCCCTTGGCTCCCCCTGACCGTTGCTCCCCCAGAAATGGCCTCCAAGGTCCGAAAACGGTGCGGTGATGGACCACGCAATGAGGTCTTTGGAGATTTCGAGGCCATCGCACGGCCTGTCGCCGCAACGCTTAGGGACCACGCAGCAGGTGGCCGCGATCCTCGGGGGCGAGGACGACCGGCTGATGGCCGTGGTGGGTCCCTGCTCCGTGCACGATCCCGTTGCGGTGCGCGAGTACGCCCAGGACGGGGAAGCGCAAGTCTTGACGTCCTCGCGCCATGCAAGAAGCGAGACGGAAGGCTTTTTGACAGCTTTCAGCCGAGGTGTTTCGGACGTTCGCAGTTCGAGGCTTGTGCATGTTTTCGGGGGGTCCCAGAGGTTTTCCAGCCTCGGGATGCCTTCCAGCATTTGCGCCCCTGGGGGTGCCCGGATCGCACCGAACAGCCGCCGTAGGCGCGAGTTGTGGCCCGAAAATTGAGCTCCTCGCGCCGTGAAACACCACGACGAACGGCTTTTCGTCGAGTTCGGCCTCCGGGGGGCCCTGGATTGTTTCCGGGATTATCAAAGAAACGATTCAGGACGAGGTGGCCGAGGTTCGTTCCGTTTTTTATTCAGTGTTATGGTAGCACGACGTCTGCACGTCTCCCCGGCCAGAAGCTGCGGGAGCTCGCCGAGGCCCTGCGGGAGGACGTGTTCGTAGTCATGCGCTCGTACCTCGAGAAGCCGCGCACCAGCGTCGGCTGGCGCGGCATCGTTAGCGACCCCGACCTGTCGGGCGAGGACGACATGGAGCGCGGCATCGAGGCTCGAGGAAGAAAATCGGAGGTCGGTAGTACCCCCGCTCTGCCAAGTCTATTAGCGAATTGCCTTCCTTCGGTTCTCAAGAGAGCCTTGCGGTTACATGTTTCGCGGGCCCGCGCCAGCCAGTTTGGTCACGGGTCGTTTTCACTGAAGGACGTTTTGCTCAAGAGGTGCTTGTCAACCCCCGAAGAAAGTCGCATCACGCCATTGCTCGGAGATCCTCGCGGATTTCTTGGTTCTGCACGGGGCTCCTCTCCCTGGCGCGCGGAACGCGCCAGTGGTGGCGCCACAGGCGCCGCCAGGGGGATCCAGCGTCGATCGCAGAAATCCCCATACATCCGACGTCGTGATTTTGTTTCAGTACGTGCTTCTACAGATGTCTGGTTCCCTCCTGGAGACGGATTTTCCATCCAAGGTCGATGTTTGACAGCACCAGGGCCCAGCAAGGGCCCCCGAAGGACGAGAACGGCCTCAAATTGTCCGTCGTATTTTTGTTCGAGACCTCGAAATTTGATGCTTCGTTTTTTTCCAATGCGGGGTCCCCAGAAATCTCGACCCCTTCCCAGGGACCCGTTTTTCATCTTGAGCCGTTGTTTGGCAGCCAATACGCCGGAGGTTTGGGGGCGCGAGGAAGTCGGGGTCCGCGCGGACCTCTAAGAGTTTACGTGCTCATGGCCGCTTGTGTTCCTCCGAGAGGTGGGCCGGCGGGTGCTGCTGGACGTGAATGCGCAGGTCGGTTGCGCGCGAGAGCGATTTTCCGCCGAAGTGTTCTTTGGCACGCGACCTTCGGGGGGCATTTGGCAGAGTCAAGCCCGAGCTCGCAGGCCGCTGCCCCAGACCCCCCCGCGTCGAAAAGATCGACGGCAGATGTTTGATGCGTTCCGCCTTGGGGGCCATCCAAGAACGATTCGGGTTGGGTCGGGCATGTCCTCCTACAGGCGGATTGTCGAAGAAAACGAAAACATCGCCAAACCTTGTTCAAAAACAGTCACAGGGTCGTCCCCACAACATCATGTTTGCATTATTTGTCGAGTATTTCTCATGTAGAGGGACGCGCCCGATGTCTAAGACTCGGGGTGAGAGGCTGGCGCGAGACCCCCAGGAGTCCACGTATAGTGACAAAAAATGACGTCAGGGGCTTAGCGGGGCGGGGGCTAGCCCAAGCGCGCAGACCGCTACTATTCGAAGGAGGAAAAACGCCATACACAAAATCATGAACATAAAAATACAAACGCCATTCATAATTATATATATATACATGGAAGATATGTATGTCTTTGTCTGTTTTGCTTAAGGAAAAAAGATACGAGTCGAAGAAGAACAAACGGCATAAACATAATGTGTTGGCGCTCCGCGTGGATTGCTTGGATCCGCGCTGGGCCCCCTCGACGGCGCCTCCGGCGCCGCCCATGGCGCGCTGGGGTCCAGCGCAGATTCAAGAAATCCGCGCGAACTTTCAAGAAATGCCGTTGTTCTTCTTCTTGTTAGCTCACCACGCGCAGCCATCGGCAAGCCGCGCACCAGAGATCGCTCTTGCCTGCGGCGTCTTCGTGTCTTGCCGACGTGGCGGCAACCCCGCCACGGGCGTTCGAGGCGGAACGCCGCCAGCGGCCATTCGTCCAATATCGGACGATCTGCGCTTTCGCGGAGAGTCGCGATCGTTCCAGGTTGAACGATTCACGCAGTGTCAGAATCGAAAGACGAAAACGCCATAAACATATGTTTGTTGGCGATTCGCGCGGATTTCTTGTACCCGCGCTGGGCGCCCCTGGCGGCGCCTCCAGCGCCGCCCCTGGTGCGCTCCGCGCGCCAAGGAGGGGGGTCCGTCGCGGATCCATGAAATCCGCGCGGAGCGCCAAAAGTTTATGTGTATGGCGTTTTCTCTTATTTGTTATCATTACTATTCGCATGTTTAGTGTTACGAGTATTATTAGTATTGGTATTAGTATTACTATTACTTTGATTAGTATCATTATTATTATTGATAATATATGTATTATTGTTGCTATTATTCGTAATCTTACTAGTATTATTAGTATTACTATTATGGCGTATTAGTAGTAGTAGTAGTAGTAGTAGTAGTAGTAGTAGTAGTAGTAGTAGTAGTAGTAGTTATAATTTCTTATACTTCTTATTATTGCATCATTAGCGTTATCATTAATAGTATTACTATTATTAGTAGTATCAGTAGTATTATTAGTAGTATTATGATTATTGTTATTCTTATGTTTTCATTCGTATTATTATTAATATAATTAGTATGTTTCTTGACCCTGCGCGTATCCCCACCAGCTTTTCGGATGCCGTCTGCGTTTCCGCTTGCGGCCGCGACAAAAAAACGTATCCCCACCAGCGTCCGTAGCCCCCTTCGGCTCAAAACGTCTCCCGGGGGGGCCTCCTCCCTCCGGGGTTAAAGGTCGAGGTTGGTGGCCGGCGCGGCCGGGCCGCGCGCCGCGGCCGCCGCCGCCGCCTCGGCATGTCTGCCCGCGGCGGCACCGGACTGATTGGGGGCCCTGGCGTTGGCGGCGCCGCGGGCTCTGCCGCGGCCGCCGCTCCCCGCGCGGCCGCGCCTGTTTCGGCCGCCGCCTGCACCGCGGCCGCGGCCACCCCCTCCGTGGAGACCCCGGCGGCGCGGCGGCGGCGGCAGCGGCGCGCCGCTGCTGCCCGCGCCGCGGGCCCTGCTGCCGCCGGCGCCCCCCTCGCCGCGGTTGCCGCGGGCACCGCGGGCGCTCCCCGCGCCGCAGCGGCCTCCGCTGTCGCGGCGGCCCCGCCGCCCCGCGCGGCTTGCCGCCGTTGGCCGCGCGGCTTGCCGCCGTAGGCCGCCGCGGCAGCCGCGCGCGCCGCCTGCGCCTTCCGCGCCGCGGGCGCGGCCGGCGCTGCGGGGGGCCGCGGCCGCCGCTGGCGCCTCGTGCGCGGCCTGCGCCGCGGGCGCCGCCGCCGCCGCGGCCGCCGCCGCGGAGGCCGCCGCCGCGGCCTCCCCCGCGTGTGCCGCCGCCGCGGCCGCTGCCGCGTTCGCTGCCGCCGCCGCCGCCGCCGCTGCGGCCGCGGCTGCGGCGGCCTCCCCTGGCGCTTCGGGAGCGAACCCAGGCGACGGGCACGCCTCGGCAGTCAGCGTTCTCAGCGCGGAGGATCGGGCAGCTGATCGTGCTGATCGTGACCACCTCGGGGACGCGGCGGATCCGCCGTCACAGACACGAGACGACGGAGGCCGTGGCCATCCAGATGGAACAATCGAGAGCCGCGCACCAGGAAGCATCACGACCAGAGCCCTTGACACCGCCTTCCTGCGCCCCCTCGAGCCGGATCGATCCGATAACATCCCCCCTTCCCCCGCCTATTTTCGATGCGATTGCGCCGATTAGTCGCCAGCCTGCGGAAGACCGCTCACCCGATGCAGTTGCGATCATTGGTCGCACAGCCAGCCACGAGCCCCCCCGCTCCTCCGCCATCGCGGCCGTCAGACGCCCGCGTGGGGAGGCGCCTGGGGACGCGCCACACCAAGTCAGTACATTTGCGATGATCAGTCGCACGCCAGGGGGTAGACGACGATGCGAATAGGGCACCAGCTCTTGTCGCGCCCCTTGGGAGGCACTTGATATCACCCCTACCGCCCCACTCGATCCTGCCCAGACATGGGGAACATATGACGGTGCAGAAACACACTGCAACAGCGACCACGACTGCACGCCCCCGAACGACCATGGCCCCCGCAACCCTTCGCACAGGATCGCGACGGGGACCGAGCCCAGGCTCGGGACACGCCACGCGACAGAGCCACGCAAGGAGCCGCCCTCAGACGCGCCCCTGAATTTCTGACGCCTTCCGACGTCGATCAGGAGCGGGCCGCCGCCGGGCCCGTCGGCGGTCACAGCGACGACGAGGGCGACCTGGAGCGGGAGTTGATTGCTGGATCGCGGGAACGAATGCCAGGAGGACCCGCCCCGCGAACCCCCCCCCCGAGGCCGGCGAGGGACCGCGAGGAAAAGCTCGGTCGCAGGAGGGTAGCCGCCCCGCCCCCGACATTAGGGGGCGGCAGAGTGGGACTGGATCGGCTCGCCCCCGATCGAACAGATCCGCGTCGCGACCGAATCGAGATCGGGGCGGCCGCCCAGCCCGCCCGCCCCCCACCCCCCACCCCAGATAGCCGTGCTTTGCGGCGATCAGCCGCCTACCTGGGAGAGAGCCGACGAACGCTTCGCACCGTGAAAAAGCATTTGCGGCGATCAGTCGCACACCTGGGGCAGAGGGGGAGGGAGACGGCGCGCCCCCCCTCGCCTGTGGCGCACTTGGGGAAGCAACTGACGTCGGCATCACTCCCACCGCCCCCCCCCCCCCCCGACCTTCTCCAGGCCTGGGGAAGACGCGACGGCGATGCGGCGCAAGGCAACGGCGACGAAGACCGCGCCTCAACGACTGATTCCGACGCCCACGCTCCGCCCACGCTTATTTCCCCCGCCGACGCCCATGCCCCCCCTCTCAGGATCTCGCCACCTGGGGGCCCAGGGGACACGCGACTCGACAGGGCAGTCCCAGACGACGCCCGACGACACCCCTCCGAGCCGGGGTCGCCCTCGGACGATGACTAAGGACGGGCAGCCGCGGCGCCCGACGGCGGGCACAGCGATGACGAACGCGACGCGGGGTGGTAGACAGAGGCAGGGAATCGGGACCGACGCGGGGCGGGACACAGCGACGCCGACGACGCCGACGACGCCGACGCCGACGCCGACGACCCGGGGACAGAGCAGGCGCTGGAGCAGAAGCCAGGGGCGCCAGACGAGCAGCAGCAGGCGACCATCCGCCCACGCACTCCCTCGACTGACCCTCCATCCTGGCGCGGCCAGTGCCTCGACGGAGACCTGGAGAACGTGCTGGGCCCCCGTGGCAGAGCCCCGCCACTCGCGCTGACTGACGCCGACGTCGCCGCCGCCGCCGACGACGACGCCGACGCCGACGCCGTCGGCGACGCCGACGCTGACGCCGACGCCGACGCCGACGCCGACGACGACGACGACGACGCTGACGACGCCGACGTCGACGCCGTCGACCTGGGAACAGAGCAGGCGTTGGACAGATGCTGGGGGCGCCAGACGAGCAAGCCTGGAGTGAGCAAGGCCCCTCTGCGCCGTCAGCCGTCACCGGTTGTCCTGGCACGAGCACGACCCGCCTGTTTGCCGACGACGCCGACGCCGACGCCGACGCCGACGCCGACACCGACACCGACGACGCCGACGACGACGACAACGACAACGACGTTGACGACGCCGACGCCGACCACCCGGGGACAGCGCAGGCGATGGAACAGAAACCAGGGGCGTCAGACGAGCAGGAACAGGCGACCACCCACCCGTGCACTCCACTGACCCTGCAGCCCGCGTCTGCGACGCGCGGACGGATGCGCCCCATCCTGGCGCCGCCCTCCACTGCGACAGTGCGAGTCCCAGCGCCAGGGAGCGACGGCGCTGCGGCCAGCGCGCGACGCTGGCGCGTCTGCCTGAAAGCGGCTGGACACCAGGCCTGGCCACGAGAACCAGCGACCCCCCAGCCCCCTCGCCGCCCGCGGGGCGGAACCTGGCGCTCGGCAACGTCGACAGCCTGGCGGGCTCAGGCAGGCGGCAGACGACCGCCGACGCTGACGATGACGCCGACGCCGCTGCCGACGCCGACGCCGACGACCCGGGGACAGAGCAGGCGTTGGAACAGAAGCCTGGGGCGCCAGACGAGCAGTGGCGGGCGACCACCCACCCGCGCACCTTCTCGACCGGCCCTATAACTCGTGGCTGCGACGCGCGGACGGACGCGCCCCATCTCGACGCTGCCCTCCCCCGCAACAGCGCGAGTCCCAGCGCCGAGGAACGACGGCACTACGGCCAGCGCGCGCCGCTAGCGCGTCTGCCTGGAAGCGGCTGGGCACCGGGCCTGGCCCCGAGAACCGGCGACCCCCACGCCTTCTCGCCGCCCGCGGGGCGGACCCCGGCGCCTGACAACGTCGACGGCCTGGGGGGGTCTGACAGGCGACAGACGACAGGCGGCGAGCGCGGCGGCAGCAGCAGCAGCAGCAGCAACGCCTGGAACCAGCGAGCCGCCACGCCCGACGGCGATGGGCGGCGAGCCGCCCGCCAGCGGCCTTGACCCCTGAATCCCGACACGGGGAAGCAACTCTACAAGTCAGGATCGAAGGCGCACAGTGGGACGTCTACGGGGAGCTTCCAGGCAGGAAGACCAAGCGATTCCAATGCACCTCGGGAGCGATGTTCACAGGCGCCCGGCACGCGCTTGTCCAAAAGCACGCCTTTCCCAGCCCCAAAGCAGCACGCGACCCGCTCCGGCGCGACCAGCAAGCGCGCGCTAGTTTCGTGGACTCCTTCCGCCACCACAAAGGGGACGCACGGTCCATGGACGACGCGCTGCACTCCGGGGTCGATTGGAAACAGCTGCGCGAGCGGCACCTGTGGCGCGGCTGGCACGGGCAAGGAAGGCGACGCCCCGCCGCGGAGACAGGCGCCGCTCTCCAGGACGGCCGCGAAATCTGGGGGAGGAGCGCTCCTGGGCCTAGCCCTGGTTCTGTCATCAAACACTTGCAGCGATTAGCTGCTCCTGGGGTTCGCCATCACCACCCGCCGTCGCAGGAGCACTCCCACGGCGGAGCCGCCACTCCTGAACCTGTTTCACAGCTTGCAGCCGCCCCGCGGGCAGCCCAACACGAGCTGCCCCTGGTCGCGCCGCAGCTCCTTGCCGACGAGAGATGACCCCTCTCCCTGCTCGGCACGCGCAGTCAGTCTGCCTGTGCCCACCCCCACCCGAGGGGTTTCTGACCCGCCCTCTGGAGGGCGCGGAGCGGCAGCAGCCTGGCCAGCCCCGCTTCCACGCACCGCACCTGGCCACCGCGTTGCCGCGGCCCGACTACGCGTTGTACTACCTGGGGACCTGGAGGCCGCTTGTCTCCTCGGCGTCCGTTTGGCGCGACCTCCTCGCCTTGCCCACGCCTGTCCCTCAGTGTGACTCACGCTGCTTGCGGGGTTGCCTGGTCGCTTCTCTATGTCTGTCTGGCCGAAGGGTTCATGGACGTCGAGTTCGACATGCATACCTGGAGAGTTGAACGACGATCTCTTTCGCCCTGTATGTCACCGCCGTCCTGGGTAAATGTGGCGTTCTCTCCGTGGTCGCAAGTGGGGTCGCCTTCCACTGACCTGCATCCTGTTCGACACCTACTTGGACGTGTTCCCAGCGACGTGCCGCGATGCCGCCCACGCCATTTTGGCTGCCCTGTGCTCCGTCCCGTTCTGTGCGTGGCGCTGCTCACCGGTTCGATTCGTTTCGCGCGCCCGCGTACCCAGAAGTATCCCTACCAGCGACTGGTATCCCACTTTCGCCCCCGCTTTCCTGGGTAAGAGTGGCGCTCTGGTCACCCTTCGCCGCCTTTGTGTACACCGCCTTCCACCTCCCTCACGCTTCTGGTGCCCTACGTCGCCTTCGCTCCATTTTGGCCGCCGGAGTTCGGCCCAGCACCTGGCGTTGCTCTTCGCTTCTTTTCCACAGCCAGTGGCATAGCCTGCCCCTGCTAGCCGGGCGTTCGACCCGTTTCGCGCGCCGGCGTACCCAAAAAATGCCCCCACCAGCGTGGCATAGCTTACCCCTGCTTACCCGGCATCCGACTCGCTTCGTGCGCCTGCATACCGAAAAATATCCCCACCAGCCCATCTAGAAACGATCACCAGGTGAGTCGGTTAATCAGGAACGCCTGGAAGTACGCGGTCGCACAGCCGTTTTGGAAGCGTCAGACTCGGTGGGCAGTACCTTGGGTCCGATAACAAGATCCTCAAATAGCTTTGCGCTGCGAAGCTTAAGACAGAAATCAGTGCAAGATGCGCCATGGTGCTCCCTGTGGTAAGCGTTGTTGGCGCAGGTTGCTGTATCTACGATCCGACGCCAATGTTGCGCAGATTCGAGCCGCATCTCGATGGGCATCCGTGATACTAGCCCTTGCACTGATTTGTATATGAAACCCGCGTGCGTTTAGAAAATTATCAGCTGCTGGTGCTGCTGCCGGTGATGTTGCTGATGCTGTTGGCGTTGTTGTTGCTGATGTTGTTGCTGTTGCTGCTGGTGCTGCTGCTGCTGGTACTGCTGCTTGTGGTGCTCCGGCTGGTGGTCATGTTGCTGCTGGGACCAGCTTGGGGGTAGGAGGAGAAAGAGGAGGAGGAGGAGGAGGAGGAGGAGGAGGAGGAGGAGGAGGAACTGAAGCAGAGGAGGAGGAGGCCATCTTTGGCTTTCTAGGGCCCTCTTGGAGCCGTCCTGGACCATCTTAGACGCTGCTATGAGTCACGCCCAGGGAGGGGGGGAGGTAAACCTCCCAAGTAGCGGAGGAAGGAGGTTGGATATTGCAGTGTGTTTGCAGGGTCATTGCTGGTCCTTGCAGGGTCATTACAGGGTCGTTGGAGCCCTCTTGGGGCTCTTTGGGGGGGATCTGGGAGGCCTCTTGGGGCCGTCTTGGCCCCCGCTGTTCAGAATAATGGGGGGGTCGAATTCGAATCGCCCCCTCGAAGTCTCAAAAATTCCGTCTTGGGGCCCCCTTGGAGCTCTCTTGGGGCGCTCTTGGGCGCTCTTGGGGCCGTCTGGGGGCCCTCTCGGGCCCCTCTTGGGGCTATGTTGAACTCAGTTTGGCCTCTTTGGGGGATCCTTGGAGGGCTCGGAGGGCACTTGAAAGCGTCTTGGGGCCGTCTTGGGGCCTCTTGGATGCGTGCTGGAGGCTATATTAATCCGTCTTGAGGTATCTTGGGCGATCTAGGAGGCCATCTTGGGGTCTCTGGTGCCCTCTTGGAGCCATCTTGGGCCAAAAATTACGCTCTAACCCCTTTGTTTAAAGTACAATGTGTATTAGTATTGTTATTGTTGCTCTTATCTTCTCAGTATATATTTTTACTCGTCATGGTTATTGTCAGTATTAGTATTATTAATACTATTATTAGTATTATTATTATGAATGTTGTTATTATTATTATTAGTATTATTATTAGTATTATTAGTATTATTATTATTTCTAATATTAGTAGTAGTAGTAGTAGTAGTAGTAGTAGTAGTAGTAGTAGTAGTAGTAGTAGTAGTAGTAGTAGTAGTAGTAGTAGTAGTAGTAGTAGTAGTAGTAGTAGTAGTATTATTATTCTACAGAAGCCAACGCCAGGGTCGTCACGACTCGGCCCTACCGTAGTGCGACCAAGCGTTTCCAAGCAAAGCCCCGGAGGAGTCGCCGCGCCCTCATTCTGGAAGTGGGCGACCAAGAGCATTCCCGGCTCTTCGTCGTCGTCGCCGTCGAGGCCGCTGGGCCGCAGCCAGCGACCCAGACGAGAGATGATTGGTTGATGAATCGTCCCTGCCCGATGTGTAGTTTTGGTCGCTTGGTCCATTTCACTCATATCGATCCGATTCGGTGTCGGTTTTGGCCAGGCCGATCCGATTCGAATCCGATGCTCCGACGATCCGGCGCGGCCCGATGACTGCATGAGGCGCTTCAGTGCATCCTGGCGCAACCGACCCGACTCGATTCCGACTCCGTGCCGATGCAGCCCGAGACGACCAAGATCTCGATTCGATCCGATTTCCCGATTCGACGCTGATTGATCCTGCCGTCGTCGGCACCGTCGAGCTTCCCTGACCTCCGAGTCTGCGGCGGCGGGCGGTCATGCGCTGCCTTCGGTCTCCGGGAGTGCCCCGGCACGGGCCTCGGGAGCCTTCAAGAAGGACGGCTCGGGAGGAAGAGCCAGGAAGGGGCTCAGACTTCTGGGGAGCAACGCTGCAGGAACAGCGCGACGTCGGCGCCCCCTGTCCCCTTTCCACAACCACTCGTCGCGAGTCGCGGCTCTGGGGCCAGAACCCCACGCGGCCGCCGCGCTCCCGCGCGGCCCCACGACAACGAGTGGAGGCAGAGGGAAGGAGGAGGAGGAGGAGGAGGAGGAGGAGGAGGAGGAGAAGGAGAAGGAGGAGGAGGAGGGGGAGGGGGAGGAGGAGGGAAGGAGGAGGAGGAGGAGGACGACGACGACGACGATCACGACGATCACGACGACGACGACGACGACGACGACGACGACGACGACGACGACGACGACGACGAGAGGGAGGAGGACGACGACGACGAGAGGGAGGAGGACGACGATTGGGAGGAGGAGGAGGAGGAGGAGGAGGAGGAGACTCACCCTGCTTGGTTGCATTAGGGTCACTCTTGCAGAGCGCCGAGCAGGTGCTGCCCGCTGCCCTGGAGTTCCTAGACCCCCTGGCCGCGCCGTACTTCGAGGACCTCGTGACCTACGGCACGCTCGGCGCCCGCACGGTCGAGACGGGGGCCCGGGTTGGGGGACCTCTGCGCGGTACGGGCCAGATTGTAGGCCTCCTAGATGAGGTCGGAGTAGATGGGGTCGGAGGATCGCGCCGCATCGCCGATGCATCGCCGAGGCGGCTCGATGTGGAGCCCGATGTTCTCCACGCCAACGGCGCCGATGCCTCGCCGACGTCGCCGCTACATCGCCGAGGCATCGGCGATGTACCGCCGGTGCATCGCCGATGCGGCGCGATCCTGCGACCCCATCTACTCAAACCCCATCCAGGACGCTTTTAGCCCCAGCGCTGGTGCCTGACACCGCGGGGATCGCTCAACCTTGAACGATCGGCCGTTTCCGAAGCGTCAGATCGTTCAACATCGACCGATCCCGGGTCGCCGGCGGCAGCCAGCGTGGAACGCCGGCGGCGGGGCCGCCGCCCGTCGACACGACGCAAACCCCCGCGGGGCGGGGACTCTGCGCGGTGCGGGCCCCGGAAAGTCCCTCGAGGAGCAGAAGACGCGGCCGGTGGGGCGCCCCGGGTGCGCGGTCGCCCTCCTCGCAGTCCGTGTGCGGCCCGCTGCCGGGCTCCGCGCGCGGATTCCGAGGAGCTGCGCCGGGCCCGCCCCCCCCCGGGCACGCCCCGCCTACGCCAGTCGGGCGTTGCGGGGAAGTGCCCCCCTGGCCCTGAAGGTGCCCCCGGGATGTCCAAGGACGGCCTCCCGGGCGCCCCTCGCGAGGCCCCGAGGGCCCCCAGGGGCTCCCAAAGTGGAAGGGATTGCTGGGGGGGCACCCTGGGCCAGGGGCGCCTTCAGCAACCCGCCGAGCCAGGGAGGACGGGTTCAGCGCAGATTTGAGCAATCCGCGCAGACCTCCAGCAGGTCATGTTTGTGCCGTCCCGCCCTCCCCGATGAAGCCTTCCAGCCGTCGTTCGCGGAAGCGCAGACATGGATATATGGCGCGTGGATGCGCGACGGGCCCCAGTTCCGCGCAGAATCGAGGCGCTCCGTCGCCAAATGAGGTGGCATTGGCCTCATGCCTGGGTTCCCCCAGGCTTCTGAGGTTCGGGTCAGGGGCGCGGACGCCCCTGACCGTTGCGAGTTTGAGGTTCGAAGTTCGAGGCTTTCAATCATCCTCGTCGGTCGTCGGCGGTTTTCTAGCCTCGGGAGGCTCTCCAGCAGCTGCGCCTCGCCGGGTGCGTTCCCAGGGGGGCCCGAGTCGTCCCGAACGGCCGCCAGAGACCCGAGCTGCAACCCGAGAACCAGACCCCCTCGCGTCGCGAAGAAAATCGCGGCGGGCGGCTTTTGACAGTTTTCGGCCTCGGAGGGGCCCCGACGGACGGTTGTGCGCGAAAAGACGGTCCCCGCCAAGGGGTCCAGCCGCTGGGGAGCAGCGCAAGAGGGACTTTTCGCTGGCGTGGCCTTCGGCCCGCTGGAGCCCACCGATCGCTGAATGCGATGCGATACCAGCGGCTTGCGCGCTTGGGCGTGCCACCACACCACACCCACACACACACACACACACACACCCTTCCGCGCTCCCCAAGCCGCACACCAAAGGTCATCAGTGCCTAGGGCCACTCGTGCGTGTACCCTTCGACCCGACGCAGCGAAAATAAAAAGCATATGCGCATCTGTGTGCCCACACCCTTCCCGCTGCGAGCGTCTGCGCGCGAGAGAGTCTAAACATGAATGGGTCTGAGTATGATAGGCTGGGAACGAATGTGTTAGTCTGAGTGTGAGTGAGCCTACGTACATGAGTGTGAGAAAATGTGCGTCGTCTGTGTGTGGGTGTGAGCGTGAGACGTCTGAGTGCGTTTGAGTGTGACTGGTCGGAGTGCGAGTGTGAGTGTGAGTGTGAGAGGTCTGAGAGCATCTGAGTGCGAGTGTGGGCGTGGGGGATCTGATCTGTCTGAGTGTGAGTGTGCGTCGTCGTCGTCGTCGTCCTCGTCGTCGTCGTCGTCCGAGTCTGACGGGTCTTGGCACCGAAACAGGCAAGCCGCCCGAGACATCCCCACGATCTGGGCCTCTCTGGTCGCTGGAGCCACCGCCCCGCCTGACGCGTCCCCACAACCTGTTCTGAGCGCAGACGAGTCGGGGGTCCGAAACAGGCAAGCCTCTTGAGACATTCCCGCAACCTGGGCGCGAACGGGCCCGTGCTGTGCCACCCGGCGGCTCCCCACTGGGCCGCGGGGAGCAGCGCCCCTCCCGAGACATCCTCACAGTCTGCTCTGAACGCAGGCGAGGCGGGGGCCCGAAGCAGGCAGACCGTTTGAGACGCCCCCACAACCGGGGCGCGAAGGGGCCCATGCGATGCAACCCCTGGCGGCTACCCCTTGGGGCGCTGGAGCCCGCGCCCCGCCTGACACATCCTCACAATATTCAGGAGGGGAAAAAACACACAGACACAATTAATCTGCGATTCCCAGAAAATATGGGAAAATATGGGAAGTGGGGGGGAAGACAGAAACCCAGAAAATATGCGAAAACATGGGGAATAGTTTTATTGTGTGTATTTATTTGTGTGTCCCAGTTCCCCTTCAAATATGTTCCGACAGCAGGGGGTGTCGAGCACCCAAACAGGCAAGCCGCTTGAGACGTCCCCACCAATGCGGGCGCGAATCCTGGAGTCTCCCCAGCCCTGGCGGCTTCCCCTTTGGAGTGCTGAAACCAGCGCCTCGCTTGAGACATCCTCGGAGTCTGTTCCGAAAGAAGAGGATGCTGGGCACCCAAACAGGCAAGCCGCTTGAGACATCCCCACAATCTTGGCGCGAATCCTGGAGTGTCCCCACCACTGGCGGCTCCACCAAGTGCCCAAATGCCACGCCTGGTATCTCGAGGTGAGCACTGAGTGCAAGTGAGTCTGAATGAGTCTGGGTGTGAATGAGCTGGAGCATGAGAGTGTGAGTATGAGTGCGTCGCAGTACGTGTGAGTCTGAGCGTGAGTGAGTCTGAGTATGAGTGAGTCTGAGTATGGATGAGTGAGCCTGGGGAAGAGGAGGAGAAGGAGGAGGAGTGTATGATGTGGGAGGAGGTCTGGAGGCGTCTATGTAATTACTCGAGGCGGAAATCCCCAGATGCGATAGTATTTTCTCGTGTCTGTGCGCATCTGGGTGTGAGAGCGACTCCACGTGGACGACACGTGCGGCAATGACGACGACAGCGACGACTTCAAGGACATCATCTTTCTTTTCTGAACATATTTCAGGAGAGGCGAGGGAACACAAGCGGAAGAGCGAAGCGGAATTCCTCTCACCGTACTCCCCGCGGCAATTCATGCAAGCGCGCATGGCGATTATACGCCCGCTCTCTGGCGTGCTACTCGCGGCGCCTGCTGGCATTTGGGGGTGCCCAAGTGCCACGCCAGTTTACCGCAGCTGTTTTCGCAGTAGCCATGTGCGTGTGCGCCTTAGTGCGAATGAATATAGGCGTGGGTGGACTGAGTGTGAGCGAGTCGGTGTTCGAGTGGACCCGGGTACGATTGAGCTTGAGTGTGGTACTCAATGTGAGTTCGAGTGGGTCTGAGTATGAGTGAGTCTGAGTCCGAGCGAGTCTAAGTGAGAGCGGGCCGTAGTGCGAGGTAGTCTGAGTGTGGGCGAGTCTGAGTTTTAGTGCGATGAATATAAATCTGAGTATGAGTGAGCCGAGGTGCGAGGTAGTCTGAGTACGAGTGAGCCTGAGGGCAGGTGAGTCTGAACGCGAGCGGCTCTGAGCGTGAGTTGGTCTAGGTGTGAGTGAGTCTGACTTTTAGCGAGTATAGGTATGAGGGAGCAATTGTGTGCGGGTCTGAGGTTGATCGGATCTGAGCATGAGCGAGTCTGAGTGTGATGAGTGAGTCTGAGTGAGGAGCAGGTGATGATGAGCACATAAGTCCGAGTGCGAATGAGTGCGTCCGAGTGGGGAAAGGGGGGAAAGAGGTGAGTGAGCGAGTGTGCCACGAGCACCCAAATCCAAAGAGAAGCTTGGGGGGGGCAGAGAAGCAAACCGCCTCAGTCATTCCCACCAATCTCAGCGCGAATCAGGAAGTGCCCCCACCCCTTGCGGATCCGCTTTCGGGTGCCCAAAATGCCACGCCTGCTGGGGGGAAGGCACAAACAGGCAAGCCGCCTGAGACATCCTCGCAAATTTGACGCGAACCCTTGAATGTCCCCACCCCTGGAGGCTACCCCCTTGGGATGCCAAACTACAACGCAAGACCGGAAAAGCTGATGCGGGGCAGCTACAGGCAAAACGTTTAAGAATTTGCACATTTCGTTTTGAAAACACAATGTGTTGGGCACGCAAACAGGCAAACCACTTGAGACATCCCCACAGTTTGTGCGCGAATCCTGGGCTGTCCCCACACGTGGCGCCCCTTCCTTGGGGTGCCCAAGTGTGTTACGCTTGCTGCATCGCGGTGAGCATTGGACCACTTTATATATAAAAAAGGGGGCAGGAACAGGCAAACCGTATGACACATCCTCACAGTTCGTTTTGAAAGCAGAGCGTGTCGGGCACGCGAGACACAAACCGCTCCAGATGTCCCCACAATCTGGGCGCGAATCCTGGCGTGTCCCCACCCCTGGCGGCTCCCCGTTGGGAGTGCTGAAACCAGCGCCTCGGTTGATACATCCTCAAAATTTGCTCCGACAGCAGAAGATGTTGGGCACCCAAACAAGCAAACCTCCTGAGATATCCCCACGATGTGGGAGCGAATCATGGAATGTCCCCACCCCTGGCGCCTCCTCCTTGGGGTGTCCAAACGTTACGCCTGCTGTATCGCGGTGAGCATTGGACCACCAATGCGTATAAGTGAGCCTGAGTATGTCTATCTGTGGATGAGAGGAGTGTGATTGTGAGTTGGTTTGTGAGCGACTGAGTCCGAGAGCAAGCGGTTCTGAGCGTGAGCGAGCCGGAGTATGAGTGAATCTGAGCGTATTGAGTCTGAGTTTGAGTGAGTCTGAGTGTGAGTGAGTCCGGCTGTGGGTAGTGCGAGTGGGTCAGCATACGAGCGGGTCTGAGTGTGAGTGCGTCTGAGTGTAAGTGAG